TTTTTTTTTAATTTTAAAGAAGTTATTGCCCTCCATACCTATTGTGTAGTAATGAAGGGCTATATATATATATATATATATATATATATATATATATATATATATATATATATATATATATATATATATATATATATATATTCTCATCATATAGAACTACAAATGAATTTTCAAGTGGCTATTTTTGTTTAGCATTTTTCCTGCATTACTTTAGCAATGGTGTTGTAGAAGATGTAATGAATGCTAAATCTGCAAAGAATGGTGTAAATTGAGGAACTCTGCACCCTTTGGATGGAATGAATTAGTAATACTCTCATCAATTTGTACATAAGTATTTACAACATTACTCCATCTGTCCCAATTTAAATCACATGTTTCAGTTGATGATGTTTGATTGAAATTTTATTCAATGTAATTTATTAGAAAATTATAACAGAATTAAAAAAAGTTTACATATTAAAAAATTACTCCAAATAAAGTTTACATACGAAAAAAGTTGTAACATGACTATTTTATTATACTCCGTACGAAGTATAGAGTATCAAATGAGTAACACATGAAAAAATGAATGACTTTTGATCTTGTGAACAGATAACATTCAACTCAATCAATTTGGGATTGAGGGAGTACTATGAATTTGTTCTTTTAGACTAGTGAACTAGATGGAGCAGGTTAGTGTGATTAATGCGTATTCTTACATTACAGTGTTATTGTACACCTATTTTAGTCGTAAAAGACATATACTCCTAGGTATTTTTATATTTGTATTTTTTTACTTGTATCTAGGGAGATTTTTTTCATAAATACTATACGAAATATATTTAATACTCCCTTCGTCTCAATTTAAATCTTTTGTTTCGATTTACGATGTTTGACTGAAGAACTTAATTCATTAAAAATAAAGAGAGTAATTCAACCCCAAAATAATTAATTAATTAAAGACTTGTAATTAAAAATAAAGACAGTAATGAATGAACTAATTGAAGATTTGTGTTTCTTGAATTCTTCTTTCTTCATTCAATTCTTCTTCTTCTTCACTCAATTCATGGCCGGAGAACAATTACAGTGATGAAGTTCTTCTTCCGGAGCGCCTATGGTACGTAATACTCCCTCCTCGGCGTCGATTTGGTCCATGCAGTCGAGACAGAAGGGGCCGCCGTAGTCCTCCATGCTCTCGTCGTACTCCTTCAACGAATATATCGCGCACCCGCACCCCCCGCACCTCGCCACCATCCCCTCCTCCTCCTCCTCCGTCATCAAGTCCCGCTTCCGCCATATCTCCACCGTCCCGGTGACCACCACCCCGCCCTTGCGGCGGCGCGTGGCGTTCCTGGCTGCGCGCGTGAGGATCCTGGCGAGCCTGGCGAGGAGGCGGGGGCGCATCCCCCCGGCGGGGTACATGGAGCTGATGATCCGGGACCTGACGAAGATGTCGGCTGCGGTGGGGGAGCGGAGGAGGCCGGCGGCGGAGGGGAGGAGGAATGAGGCGGAGTCCTCGGCGGAGTGGACGTCGGTGATCAGCTCGAGGTGGTCGTCGATGCCGTGGATGAAGGTGTCGGTGGATTTGCGGCGGATGCGGAGGCGGAGGGAGGAAGGGGGGCACGGAGTGGGACAACTTGGACTCCGTCTTGAGGGAGGCGACGCCGCCGGAAATGGTCCCCCGTGGGCCCGGCAGGGCAACCCCGTCACTATACTTCTTCATCACCATTATTACTATTACTGCAGTAATTATCTATTTCAGTAATTACTGTTCTTCAATGGAGAAATTCTGATTTGGATGAATTCTGAGATGAAATTGATGTATGGGAGTGAGTGAATTGGGCGAGGAATTGAAGAATATATAGACACTCACATACAAATCCCAAATCCTAGTAGTGGTCTGATTTCAATTTAAGAAACATTAATTTCACATTCTTGCCCCAAAAGCAACAAGTTTCCAAATTTTATCTAATACTCCGTAATTTTTTGTTTTTTTATTCTTGTAATCTTCCTCCAATGAAGCACGAGGGACGAAAATATACTTCAGAACCTTAAAAATTATTCTTGGTAAGAACTCTGATTACATTATCTAAAATATAGTTTGGAGTCTTTAAAATTCGTGATATTATACTCAAAGGATACATCATCTCAATTAAGGCATTAGATTAAAAGTTAGTTTACTTTAACAAATTGATGAATTTTATTTTAATTTAATAAAATAATGATTGTCAATGTAAAGTTGCCCATAGGGCATGAGAGTTCTTAGAGGTATCCTAATACATATTCATCATATTTAAAATGTGTAAAATATCACCCCTTTGAAGATTAGTTTATATTCAAATTGGTAGAGAAATAAAAAATATAATGTAAATGAATGTAAAATGCAAAACTCAGATTTTTACATTCCGGATGACAGCAAACAAAATTTACCAATATCACCCTACAATGGTTGTTTAATCACGACGTGTCACACATACCTTAAAAAGTTTCAGAGTAAATTAAAATTCTCAATGTTTAAGAAAGGATTATATTTCATATCAAAATATTTGAGGAAAAAAAGAAACTTTATTTCAAGAGGAAGCTCATGCTAAACATATAAATTAAAAATACTCCAATATGGTGTAAAACCTTATTTCAAGAGGAAGCTCATACTAACAGTTTAAGCCAATTTATAAGTTGTTAGAGTTAGTGATTGGGTTCTTTGAGAGTCATGAGACCAAGTCATAGTAATTGTAAAATTTCAGTTGTCCAGGGAAAAAACGCAATCAGCACAACAAGATCCACTCACTTTGGAATATCAAAAAGAATTCAAAACAAACAGAGAGAGCTAATCTGAGGTGTAGATCATAAATTGACAAAGGTACATAAATATCAGCTTCTTGGAAATCAAAACAAGCCTTCTAATAAAAGAAACCAAGAACTTTCCCACCAACATTCTTGCGCCTCGCTTCGTCGTGGTCCATGATGCCCGCAGAGGTAGTCAGCACAATGTAGCCAAACTGCCAAGTTTAAACAAATGTTCTTTGATGAGTACACTAAATGTTATAAGCAAAATTCAAGAGGATATAACTCGGCAATGGTCTGAGCAAAAGTGAAGGACGCAGAAGTTAAAATCTGTTTGGGAGCCGTTATCGTCTTGTTTGAAGAATAAGAAGCTATTGGACTTGTTCCTTTGATGGAAATGAATGCTTAAAAGACTTGAATGTGTAGAAAATTAAGAAGTTATGTTGTTGTTAAAGCCACTCATAAAGAAAGCAATAAAAATGTACTTCTCATGGCCAGTCCCAAGAGGTAATAGCCGACACGGCTCTCCAAGGCAACAGGAAATGAGATTGCACCTTTGGAGAAGCAGGAGTCCTCCCATTTGCATGAGTGACTCAACTGCTGACATCACAATGGAGCTTAATGTGTGACAATGTCCAAAACTTGAGTCTTGCAAGCATTTACCCCAATTAATTTAAGGATTGTCATATTCACCAAATATGCAACTGCTTAAACAACATTTTAGTTTATAGGAAAATCGGATGAGACGGAAAGGGTAATTCATTATGTGCTGTTCCCCAAAAACTAATCCTAATTTGGGTGGAAAACCAGCATAGTGAGGTGCAGCTAATCTCATTTGATTTGTATCCTTAACCCAGTCTTGTATACACTCAAAACTTTCATTTTGATGGTTTATATGCAAACTCAACATATGATAGAAAGTTACCAACACATAGATCATCCTCCTATAATTTCACATCTATCACAAACCATCTCGTACGTTCATTTAATTATGAGCAACCATGCCTGATGAGAAAGAAACAACTTAACTGTCCATAAAGTGTTTGGAGGAGAAATCTAGGTAAAAGTATATTTGTGTTAATGAAAATATCTGCACACCATTGTCACTGAGCTATTATACCTGTCTTGAAGGAAGCAACCTTGCAGTCCATCCTTCGATATCCTTAACCCCAACATCAAAACGAGGACTGATCACACCACACTTGTTCAACCTTCCATTGAGTTCAACCACAATTTTTCCGGCTCTGTGGTCATCAACATATTCAAACTCGCCAATGTAACCTGCAAGAGCAATAGAGCATAAAAGCATTTCACATGTGTCAAAATACCATAACAATGAAGTAATGAACATACCATGCTTTTGCATGACCATGAGAAACTTGATGATCACTTTGGAAGAAGGTCTGATCATGACCTGACGCTTCCCTCTCTTCTCGGCATTGTACATGCTCTTGAGCGCATCATTCAGCACACTGATTCTCACCATCTTCTACAGATTCTAAAACAAAATCGTATGAAAAAACACTTTATATCGCATTTCCGATTCACTTTGCTAAAAATGAACCAACTAATTCATCAATACAGATTCGAAGTGACAAGTACATCAGAAAACCAAAACAAAAACACATATATCATACAAAAGTGTATAGGTCTCAAGCATACAATAGTCTGACGCTAAATTCAAATCTAAAATTGGAATCTATTCCGCGAGATGAAGATGAATAGCCAGAAACTTACGAGTCGACTTGTCCGGAAGGAGAATGGAGGTGCTCCGGCGGGCGGCGACGATGAGATGCGCAGCTGAATGAAGAGGAGGTAATTGATATCTCTTCGGAGAAGTATAAAGGAGGGAGACCGAAGGGGTTAGGGTTTGGAGCTGCAAATGGGCTATTGGGCCGATCAATTTGGTGCTGAACTATATATAAATAACAAATGCTATTTCATTCGATCCAGAATTCAAGGCTTGGGCTTAGATTCTATTTTGTGTAATTGTGTCTTCGACCCAAAATTCATAAAGCCCACATATCTATTTTCTGCCTACATATTTTCCGTCATGGCTATATTCCAATTTCCAACTCTCGGCGTATATGGAATATTGAGAAGCCCATTAACCGCTTCTAATCGGGCTCTGGTGCAACAGGCGGACGAGGCATCAATAAGTTTCCCCCCACAAGACATTTCCATTGCGCGTTACGAGGTTTGATCGATTTTATTTTCAATTTAATTTATTTAAATATAAGAATAAAATTTTAATATAAAAACTATATAGAAATAAACTACATGAAAAGTTCTACAAAACTAGAGGTGGCAACACTATATTATTTTATGAAATGAATAGTAAAAATAAACAAACAAAATAAAATTAAGTTTGACCCTGTGAATAATGTTTAGGAAGATTTATGTTGAACAGAAAGAGTACTTATTATATAAAAAATACGAAATATTTGCACTAAATAGTACCAAAACTTAAGTCATTTGCATAAATAGTACTTAAATTATTTTATGCCCTAAATAACACTTATTTCATGCCCAATTTTCTATCTTTATTCATATTAGATACTCTCCTCGCCTCAAAAACTCGTTTATCTTTCTTTTTTTCTTGTCACACAAACTCATCCACTTTTCTATTAAAAACTACTTTTACTCCTATTAATTACTTCCTCCGTCCCATAAAATCTTTTTCCTTTCTTTTTTATCCGTCCCACACAACACTTCTCATTTCTATTATAAAGTCACTTTTACCCCTTACTTTTTCATACCCTAACTATCACATCATACCTTTTTACTAATAATTTATCCATCAAATCATACTTTTACCCATCACATCAAAGGACATTTTTGGAAATTCAATACCAAAATACACTCCCCTTAAATCCCTCCTAAAAAGCAAAAGTCACATGTTTCACGGGACGGAAGGTGTATTAACCTAACTATCACATTATATCTTTTTAGTAATAATCTATATCTATCGCATCCTACTTTTACTATCACATTAAGGGTATTTTTTTGAAAGTCAACACAAAAATAACTCTCTCTTAAATTATAAAAAAAATCAAAATAAGAACATCTTTATGGGATAGAGGAAGTACCTAGTTCTCAATTTTTTAAAGAATACAATAGAGTATAATAAAATTTAGAAATATGGCATATGGCATGAATATTGTGTCCGATATAATTGGGGATGTAATTCTTGTGGATGACATATGGCATGAGTATTGTGTCTAATATAGCTAAATATGAAAAAGTAAGATGTCGAGTATGAAATAAATATGATATCTCAACAAATTAGAAGTGTACTTTCTATGTAAGGACCATTTCCAAAATAAAACATTTTGTAAGAATGACTAGACAACTTTTTTATAGAGATTAAGAACAAAAATTACTTATTTTACAAAGACTAAAAATATATTTAATCATAATATCCCATTTAATAATGTGGCAAGATATTCTACTCCTTTTGTTCTAAACTTGATTTATTTTTTTCTCTTCTTGATAATTTTTTTTATTCTTGTCGCTTCTTATTTTGTAGAACTTCTGATGTAATTTTTAGCATGTAATTTTTTATTTTTTATTAATATAAAAAAATTTGTAAATAAAATAATTTCAAAAAATATAAAATTTTACTATTCCAATTTGAAATCAAATGGGGACGGAGTAAATGTCATGGCGTGAGCTGTAAAAAAAATCATACATATCCGGGGCAAGATGGTCATTGGCTCACTCGCATGCTGAAAGCTTATTTACCGCCTCACTCCAACACCCATTTTTTTCACTACACTTTTTTACCACAGCTTTCTCTCTCTAGCTGCTCCTCACCTCTCTCCCTCTCTGAAAACTTTGCGAAAATGGCGGATTCCAGGGGGCACTCTCCTTCCGGTGACCGCCGCAACCGCCGCAGGTCTCCTTCCCCGTGTCCAACTCGCCGGATACTTCCACCTCCGACGACCACGCCGCACGCCGTTCCTCAGGTCTGTACTCCCGATTTTTCCGTTTCCGGAATGCCTCCCACATTTTCCGCTTCTCAGAAATCTCTCCATCTTCTCTGCATTTCTGTATCTCCTTCCGTCCGAACGTACATGTATGAAACCAAAAAACACCAAATTGCAGGGAATAAAAAGCCGATTAACTACGGCAAGCGGCGTCGGATGTGGGACGATGCTGTATGTTTCCAACTTGGGATGTAGGGTTACTGAAGACGACATTAAAGTCCGTACATGTTTTTTTCCTTCACTCTCTTTCCATGTTTAATCCCTATCATGAATTGAATTACTTGTATTATTTTGCAAATCCCTGAAGCGCCCTAACAAATTTCTGCGAGAACTGGAAAGAGCATATAATGTTAACAAGAAAAAAGAGTATGCATAATTACAGTTCAGTGGATTTACAAAGTAAAATTGAAGATGGGTTTTCTTAGTTGGATCACTATGTTTATGGATTGCTTAATTTCCAGATTTCTTTTTTTGGCTGTTTATATATTGCTTGCAGGTTCTGTTTTCAGATGTTGGTGAGCTGAAAAGTTATTCTCTCCACTGTGATCAAAGTGGAATACCCAAGGTGTGTGTGTTTATGATAGAAGAATTGAAAGAGCTATACATATTTGGTTTATGCTTTACATTCAACAAGAACAATAAACTCAATAGAATCTCACACAAAAATGATTTGGGTAGAGAGACTAGTTGTTCTTGCTTTACATTGTGAAAGGTAAAACCAAACATAAAGAAAACATTTCCTCTGGTGATTTCCATCTTTTTCCTATCATTTTTTGAGATTCAAACACACCCATAAATGAAAAGAATGAGCATTTGCTAGAGATGCGGGCTGAGTAAAGACACGATTGCGATTATGTGACAGGGGACTGCAGAAGTAGTGTTCTTTCGCAAATCAGATGCTTTGACGGCAATAAGCAGATACAACAACATACCACTTGATGGAAAACCAATTAAGATAGAAGAAGTTGGGAAGATCAATTATGTGGAGCCTGCTTGGCCTCCAATGCCTGCTGCTTGGCCTCCAATGCCTGCTGTTTGGCCTCCAATGCCTGCTACTTGCCCTCCAATGTCTGGTATGCTTCTGGGAAATCCAAGACGATCACCATCTCTTGACTTGTAAGCAACTTAAGCTCTGTTATCTTGTTCTTGTTTCAACATATAAGCAAAATATCTGCTATTTATGTTTGATATCTGGATATATATGTATATATATAACTTATGTGAGCTAGACATGATAATGTTGTGAATAAGTGTTGAGCCAAACTCGCCTCAAAGGAGATCTCAAAAGCCGATGTTTTCCCCTCACCTATTAAGGGGTTCAGTTCATTCATTCATATTTAGCTATAACACACTCGTACTTATATATTGGAATACAAATATTGCCAGTGTACCGCTGAAACGAAATGCTGCTGGCACTAGAAGGCCACAGTTGGGTTCTGGAGATGAACAAGGGAAGGAGAAAAGAAGCCAGAAAAAACAGGTCACTGCTGCTGATTTGGATGCTGATCTGGAAAGGTACCGTTTGGGATCCCAGAATCACTAATTATATGTTTTGATTTGTATATAAATCAAGATGCATTGATGCACCTAATGAATGTGTTTAGTGAACTCTAATCCTCAGACTCTCTCAAGTATGTGAATGCCTTAGCTTGATTACTTTGCATGGCATTGAGCCTTTAGGTTCTAAATGAATGTTATATATAAATATATATGCTGGAATGACATAGCAGTAGTTTCTCTACATGGAGCACATATGAGTTAATTACTCCTTTCGTTCTTAAATGATTGTCCATTACGACTTTTTAGAAACATTAAAAATCAAATGAATTACAGTGTGTAATAATTTCTCTACTACTATTGAAAGTGAAAAATTGTACCCCTTACCATGATGGGTTTATTTGGGTGTGTCATATATGTTGAAGAACCTCATTTTTTTTCATTTTTGTGAGCATTTAAATATATGAATGCATACTATTAAGGATTACATTTTTTGGTAAAGACATAATATATACTCCCTCCGTCCCTAAAGGCCTAAGTCATCTACACATTACGTAAAATGAAGTAAAATCTTAAGTTTTTTCAATTCATTTTATTTAAAGATTGAAATATAAATAAATAAAAAAAATTGCGTATTTAAAAAGTAAACCCAAAGTTTTATAAAAACAAGAGGTGACATAAATATTTTATATCATCAAATAGTCAATGAAAACACATAAATAAATAAATTTATATGGACAGAAATAAGGTTACTATTAGGTTATAAGTTATTTATGTTCAAGAATATATGGACGAAAATAAATAAATATATCTTGACTTTCAGCCTTCAAATGGAGTTGGAATTATTTTGGTGGCGGTTATAGTGATTTTATCATGAATGTAAATAACGAAGAAAACTCGATCAATGATGCAAACAATCAATCATGTGATTAATTACACGCTTATGTAAAACCAGAGTAAGTTTGTGGAGTTATCAAAATCTACATTTTCTAAGTCCGTATAAATGAGCCATCAAAATTATTAATGCTTAGAAAATAGAGCGTTTGGTTTCTTTACATGATGTATGAGAGGGCGTCTAATTTGACACTGGAGTAATTTACCTAAATAAGACTAAAACATAATGACTTTCCCAAAATAGGACCATATGTTTTTATTTCCGAATGTATGACCTTTAGTCATTATTCTTTAGTCATTATTCAAGTAATGTCTATCATTGCTGGACATTATTCCTTCCACGAAGACACTATTAAGTCCTAGATTAGGAAAGTCATTATGTTTTAGTCCTATTTAGTGCAAATTTCACTTGACACTATTCAATTGCAATGCTAGACAGCTATCTAGTGCCTGTTTGGGAACAGCGTTAGCAATTAGCGTTTTGAAAAAACTATCTATGGGCAGCGTTTAGCGTTAGCGTTTTCATAGTGATCTGCACCGTTAAAATTTTATCCAAAACGTGTGAAAACGCTAACGCTAATCTCTAACGATATTCCCAGACAGGCCCCTAATCTCTTAATTCCTCTTGAGCAGGGGAGTAAGAGTAAGGAAGTGTCCCAATTGAACTAGTATTGGAATTTGGTGCCGCTTGGAGTAGTGCCTAATTAGACTTACTCTTTATGTATTGGTTTCAAGACATATTCTTTCGTGGTCGTAAAGTTGATGATTGTAATATAAACCTTAGTGCATTGATAATGTAAAAGAATAGGGCATTTGGCAAAATAGGAACAACCCACTTGCCCGCCTATAAAAATGTAAGAAGATCCCTATTTTATTTGTGGGTCTGAGGAGCACGAAAGAATAATTCTTGATTTAAATATATCTTTAACGTTATTGGTCGTTTCAAAAATGTCATTCCTTCCATCAACTAGCTCAATAGTGCCACTAACATTGTTTCATTTGTTTGTTCTTTTTAACACAAATGATTCTACTATAAGCTCTAGTAAATGTTCATATATTTTCTAATCTATTAAGCACGTAAAATAACTTCCTCACTGAGTTCAAACCTATTATGATATAAAACATAGATCACATTTTTATACTCCCTCCGACCAATTCAAGTTATTTATTTACTATTTATATGGTCAAATTTTTATTATGTTCTTTACCCATTTTTACTACCCATTTGAGAAAATAATACTCGCTTTGTATACTTTTGTCTCCTCTTTTTTTGTAGAGTTTTTGATTTAATACTTAAATATATATAAATTTATTTTTTAATTACATAGCAATTTCTAAATAAATTAAATTGAAAATAAATTAAGTCAAATCTCGTAAACAACAACCAGCGACTTAAATTGGGACGTATAAAAGTAGTGGTGACATGACTAAATAACTTTATCATATAGGCAACGAAAACATACCAACAGCGTATATATATAGACCTTGTGAATAGTAAATGAAAAGATAATGTTTAAATGGAGGAACTATGTATAAATTATATTTTAGTCCTATTTACAAATTTCTGGTTTATTTTAGAGAAACTTTTTTTTCGCACAATCATTAATAAATAATTTTTTGTTTCGGAAGTACTAACAAATTAAAGCACTGTGCAATTATTGGATAACACGGAGTACCCCCTCCGTCCCAGAGTATTCGTCCAATTTTGACTTTTGGAACTATTCATCTAAGCGCTTTGACTCATCAAATTCTCTCAATGTGTAAGCCTAAATATAGTCATGTGTGATCTTATTTGATTTGTCTTAACATATAGATTATTAATATATAATTTCTATAATTTTTTAATATACAAATTATAAGATAAAATGAATTAAAGAAGTGTATTGGATAGTGTGTAAAAATGAAACTGGAAAAATACTTTGGGAAAGAGGTAGTATTTAGTTTCCTAAGATTTCTTGTTGAGTTAACTTGCTTTTCCTAAAGGCAAAATTGACAAGAATACTCCCAGAAATTACAGATTTTACATAAATACTCCGAAACTTGTTTATTTACATCATTACTCCCACATTTCTCTTTTATTTACATCATTACTCCCAAATTTGATAGTGATCATTAGTGTTACTTGGATGTGTCTTTTTTGCGTTAAGTGAACAGTTAAAATGCTGACATGTATTTTTTTCACTCTGATATACCAAATTCAGCTCAATTTATTCTCTCCATCGTCTTTCTCGCATCTTAGTAAGCCTAATCATTGCCCTTATTTCCCGTCATTTTTTAAAAAAATCAGATTTCAAACTTCCCAAATTTTTTTAATGTTTAAAATCAAGTCTGTTCATATTAATTTAATTTGAATTTAATAAAAAAAAGATTAAGAACCCCGTATAAAAAGACGCACCCGAGCAACACCGATGATGAAGCAATCGTGGAGTAACGACGTAAACAATAGACAAATGTGGGAGTAACTGTGTAAATAAATAAATTTGAGAGTATTTATGTAAAACTTGTAATTTCTCGAAGTGTTCTTGTGAATTTTGCCTTTCCTAAATTACAATTTGCAAATTAGACCCGAAGTAGGATGCACGGGGTGGGTGTAGCAAATCATATTTGGTATCAAAATTGGCTTATGTGGCGATTTGGCGAACACTGTAACACCGCCCCTCCACCTTTAGTACCAAATAAAATCGGTAAATGGAGTAAATGAACACACTTATTTGAATTAAAAAGTTCAATATTACTACAGTACATTTTTGTTCACCCAATTTCAATTCGTTTTAATTAATTTACTCCGGGCTATAATATTAACTAATCCAAAAATGTACAATTTCAGTAATCAGGCAGGAATTTACCATATCTGATTAGGCCCGGCCTGCTTTAGAACGTTTTAGTGCGGTTATTGCACGAGCAGAGGCAGAATTTGGAAACTTGTTGCTTTTGCGGCAATAACGTGAAATTAATGTTTCCTTAATTGCAAATCAGACTCCTACTAGGATTTGTATGTGAGTGTGTGTCTATATATATATTCTTCAATTCATCGCCCAATTCACTCACTCCCATCCATCAATTTCATCTCAGAATTCATCCAAATCAGAGTTACTCCATTGAAGAACAGTAATTAATTAGTAAAATCGATAATTACTGTAGTAATAATAATGGTGATGAAGAAGTATAGAGACGGGGTTTCCCTGTCGGGCCCACGGGCGACCATGTCCGGCGTCGCCTCCCTCAAGACGGAGTCCAAGCCGTCCCCCTCCGTGCCCCCTTCCTCCCTCCGCCTCCGCATCCGCCGCAAATCCACCGACACCTTCATCCACGGCATCGACGGCCGCCTCCTCGAGCTGATCACCGACGTCCACTCCGCCGAGGACTCCGCCTCATTCCTCCTCCCCTCCGCCGCCGGCCTCCTCCGCTCCCCCACCGCAGCCGACATCTTCGTCAGGTCCCGGATCATCAGCTCCATGTTCCCCGCCGGGGGGATGCGCCCCCGCCTCCTCGCCAGGCTCGCCAGGATCATCACGCGCGCAGCCAGGAACGCCACGCGGCGCCGCAAGGGCGGGGTGGTGGTCACCGGGACGGTGTTCATACGGCGGAAGCGGGACTTGATGACGGAGGAGGAGGAGGAGGGGATGGTGGCGAGGTGCGTGGGGTGCGGGTGCGCTATATATTCGTTGAAGGAGTACGACGAGGGCATGGAGGACTACGGCGACCCCTTCTGTCTCCACTGCATGGACCAAATCGACGGCGAGGAGGAGGAGGAGGAGGGACCATTACGTTGTACCATAGGCGGCGCACCGGAAGAAGAACTTCATCACTGTAATTGTTCTCCGGCCATGAATTGAGTGAAGAAGAAGAAGAAGAAGAATTCAAGAAACACTACAAGTCTTTATTTTAATTCATTAATGACTGTCTTTATTTTTAATTACAAGTCTTTAATTAATTAGTTAATTATTTTGGGGTTTAATTACTGTCTCTATTTTTAATGAACCTGTTCTTCATTTTTGTTAGTCATTATGAAATTATGTATGTATCGACCTATCGTTTTTTAGTTGGCCCAAATTATACTCCGTAACAATTAAGATTATATTAGGGCCTTTGGTTGCATCTCCTTTCCTATTCTAATTTTTTTATAATGTCATAAATTCATCTTGAGATATCACAACATTACGGGGTATATGATTCATCATAGAGCCATATAGGTTAAAATAAAGTAACATTAAGAATAAAAAAGTAAGGTTATTATATTGTGGAAGGGAGAGAATAAATAAGAATAAAGTTATTTGTACCCTACTTGTACATTAATATTTTGTGTAGGTGTAATGCTAATTTTTGTTAATGTATCGATACTTTTTGTCAGTGTAAACTTTTGTTAACGCACCAATACTTTGTGTCAGTGTGAACAATCAAAATGTTGGTGTATATCTTTAGTGTAAGTCTGAGGTACAAATTTAAGTATATGTGTAGCATGGTCCAATAAATTAATAAAGACACTCTTTTTCATCATTGAGGAATACTCCGTATTTCTTTGGGTTTGGATTTTCTGAGCATATTGCGTTTCAGACATTATCCTCTACAATACAATGGGTTTTTGGTCTCGAAAAATAATGTCCTTTATTTAATCTCTACACTTTTAATTCATAAATTGTTGAAAATAAAAAAAATGTCATCAGTATTTGTTTCTTGAAGAGAGAATTGTTGATATCCACATATTTATTATTAAAATAGAAAATAAAATAAATGTAAGATGTTTCTTTGAATGTCCAAAAAAGAAAAGTATAAACAATTTGATAAGACATGGAAATATTAGCTTGATGAGTCCTTGATTTTAGATTTGCAAGGCCTATAGACTATACTTCATCCGTAATATGAAGTTGTACGTTCTCTTCTCATTTTGGCTTGTCATGATGTTTAATCAAAGATTTAAAAAAAATGGGGTAGTTATTTTGACATCGGGAGGAAATGTCATATTATGACACTGGCTAAATTGAAGTTTCTACAATGCTAAGCTCGCAAACTTGGCGATTTTCACTACCTAACTGCCCTAACCCCCTCCAATTGTTGATTAGCAACAAATTAATTTTATGCTGATCGGCGATCATGGGCGTTGGGTAAAACTATTGATTTTGTGATTGGAGCACCGTAAGAGGCTAATGTCATACTCCCTTCGTCCCAGAGTATTTGTTCACTTTCATTTTTACACACCATTCAATGCACTTCTTTAATCCATTTTATCTTGTAATTTGTATATTAAAACATTATAGAAATTATATAATAATAATCTATATGTTTAGACAAATCAAACAAGATCACACATGACTATATTTAGGCTTACAAATTGAGAGAATTTGATGAGTCAAAGTGCTTAGATGAACAGTTCCAAAAGTCAAAACTGGACAAAAACTGGGGGACGTGGGAAGTATATAACAAGCATTTTGTGCGTCAAAATAAATATCATGAATTAAATATTTAACTTTCAGTCGTTGATAGTATATTAAGTTGAAAGAAAATAAAAAAAGTACTCCGTAAATGATACTAAAGTAAGGATAAACTGAGGGTTCCCATGACATTGGAATTCCATGTCATGGGATGACTCGGGGTCGCTACGGTGATGCGTTCGTAAAATTGATGGTTCCTACCCCTATCCCCTGGTAAACCCCTCAACCCCGCCCTGACCCCGAACACCCCCCCCCACTTCCTTCAATTGCTCAGTCCAAATTATGCAATGCATAATAGCTACACATTTAGAAGGGCAGTGGTGGGTTAGGAAAGACATGAACCATCAATTTTGCGAATAGAGCACCAGAAGTACTCCAAAAACGCAACAGTGCTAGTAGCACAGTTGGTCAGTGCCAATGGAACCGTGCCCTAAACAATAACAAAACGAATAACTTCGCAAAAACGAGATAACTTAAGAGTATGTTAGAATAACTGTTACTCGACTTCCGCGAGATCAAGCTACAGAGAGGAAGAGAAGAAGACTTGCGCGGCTGAGAAAGCCACGAAGGGGAAAGACTGGGGAGATTAGGGTTTTTGGGGAATAAAAGTTGCTTATTATTATTGATAAGGGTTGGTCCCTTTAAATAGAGTTTCCCCATTCCTAATTAATCTAATTTTCTACCCTGTCGGTTCAAGAAAAGCATCGAGGTAAAGAACCGAAAAGAAACCCTCGAAGGAGCTTATAAACCGCTCACCTAGTAAAAATCTACGTTACAAAATATTAATAAAATATTAAACATAATCTCGGTATCGTCGGGGTGGCCCGACGTTCCTCCTTGGCCGTACGGGTG